TGAAATATCGAGCTGACACACAACACTGATCGCAGATACGCCAAATCCTTCTTTTACACTCCATTACTTGTTTCCACTTTGTAACTGCTGCCCTTAAGTAATAAATCACATGTATGGGCATTTTTTGCACCTAAAATTACGAAATTTCCCGGATAATTGGCCTACAAAACAACGGATACATCCCAGTTAGGATCCCCCATAACTGCCCCACTTTCGCGAAAGACGCCACTGTGGTCACTGCAAATAGTAGTCCAAACAAACGGCCGCTGGCAAACCAGACAAAATCTGCTCCTCGCCGTGGTCTTATCGACATTCTACACGTCGTGAGTCAAAATCTGCACATGCGAGACGATTCTCGGACTACACAAGGTGGAGAGAGCATAAATTCTACGCACCGCCGATGTCTTCAAAACACCAAACTGCGAATTTAGAGAAACTTCCTCAAAAATACTATGCTCAGAATAATATTGTTATAGGCTTAAAAAACCGTCCAACACAAAATGCTGCTTGCTTTGCCTGCAGTAATATTTTGCACTTCGTATATCAAACAATGGTACCCAAAATGGAAATAACTAACCGGACGTTCTGGAAAGACGGCAAGCAGAACAGGGCGAGTGACGAAAGCTAATAAAAATCAAAACAATACGACATAATTTAGGGGCGCACGGCTTGTGCACTTTGCTAGCATAGGAGGCTCCACAGCAAAAGACAAAAACCAATAGTCGAAAGTCAAAAATCAAAAATCAGAAGCAAAAATTCAAAAGTCAAAAGTAAAAAATTGATAGTCAAAAGCAAAAATTGACCAAAAAAATGACTAACCTTTATCAAAGTAAGTACACGCTCCTGCACCACTTGTGGTGCATCGTACTTTGGCCCAATCAATCTGACCAAATCGTTGACGAATTCCTTCTGACACACCAATTCATGGAACCGAATATCACAGTTCTTAACACATGTCTCGAGCACTGTCAGTGTGTACATCACACCGGCATGATTCTTCGACATCTGTGTGTGCAAGCGTTTTCGAATGGCACGCATTGCATCGCGACCTCTGAAATTTCACTCTTTTCAATCCCAGGGGCATTTCTGCATAAATTTTTTTATGAACCGAACAACACGAGGCATACATGTATATATCATATATCTAACAGCATTCTGCGTAATGGTAGAAAAAAAAAATCTATAATTTCGGGAGCATGGCCCTCAACCAAGTATGGGATCAAGATCAGCTGTTATTTTAACGTGCGCCATTGGTGCAGCTGATGAAACCAAGCCAAATCACCTGGTAGACAATCTACTGTGCAATCCTTGCGTCCATTACTCGCCTTGTTTGCTGGTTCTTCTAGCGGTGCTAAATGCAACCCCTTCACTCCCCCGTTTCACGAGCGTGTTCTCAACTTTTTCAGCACTCATCCTCCCTCCCTCCCTCCTCTCATGTTGGACGAGTCTCGCCTTCATCTTTTAAGCTCCCCTATATGCCGGTAGTCACTCACTGGAATAAGTGTACGGGAAGGTAGGAGTTTTCAAAAGTACCACATTTCGGATGCACAGACACTTCTTTGGAACTTTGGTGTGCTGTGATTACTGATCCTACATGGAAAAAAACAGGCTAGTACAAAATCAAGAACTCTAAATAATATTCCCGACTTTTAATCTCTGGTGCACGATAAATGAAGAAATGAACCGATTTCAGACTGTAGCGTTTCTAAAATGATAAGTTTTTGACCGTGCTCTGTCTGACCAGTAATCACAAACTCAAATTCAACTTCAAAGAACTAAAATTTCCACAACTTTGCTGCGCAACGTTAGAA